TGTGTCCCTTCTTTCCGCTGTGAAATGACTAGCCAGCTGAATTTACCCTTCCAAAACTCATTCGACTTCACTTAAAGTTCAGATAACAGACTGTGTGGATCATGGATGTGTATACTACTAATTGACGGTCTAGAATCACCGTTCGGTTTGCGCAGCTGGTATGGATCACGTCTCTCATACTCTAGGCATTGTGGTGGGGCCAGAGACGATGCGAACGTGAGGAACGCATGTCTTAGCAAACCGGAGTGTGCTCTGTGTGTATCGACCAACCTTAGGGAAACGAGGGATGGCGTCAGTACGTGTTGCACTAATTGAAGATTGGTGTTTCTAAATCGTCCTGCGTGAACAATGTATGACATAGAATCAACACCCATACAGCATCTTCAATGCATGTATACATCTTGCAGCAGCATCTTCATTCCAGTAACAAGGGCGAGTTCATACGACCCCCTATTAGGCCCTCCTCATATCAGAAACAAATGTATCGAGATTTTCGTTATAAATCACAAATGTTATATAGCTTACTTTGTGTAGGCTATAGTGGGGTAGCCCATAAGGGGTACAACCCAATTAGGGTTAGTACTTGTACCCAACTTCTGCTCAATGCATTCATTCTGATTCAGTATTCTGACATGGTTTCAGAGCAGGTCCTTCCATAGAACCGTTTTTCTTAGGGCCCACCACAGAGCTGCCCCACTCACTGCCCTGCCGCCCTACCATATCAGCGCGCCGCCCTGCTGGCCTACGCGCCGCCCTTTGCAGCCCGTCGCGCCGCCCTTAGCAGCCCGCGAGCTGCCCCTGCAGCCTGCACGCCGCCTCTACAGCCCGCGCACCGCCCCTGCAGCCCCGCGCGCCGCCTCTGCAGCCCCGCGCGCCACCCCTGCAGCCCCACGCGCCACCTCTGCAGCCCAGCGATCCGCCCCTGCAGCCCTGCGTGCCGCCCCTGCAGCCCGCGCGCCGCCTTTGCAGCCCCGCGCGCCGCCCCTACAGCCCCGCGCACTGCCCCTGTAGCCCTCGCGCCGCCCCTGCAGCCTCGCGTGCCGCCTCTGCAGCCCCGCACGCCGCCCCTGCAGCCCCGAGCGCCGCCCCTTGAGGCCCGCTCACCGCCCCTTGCGGCCCGCGCGCCGCCTTTGCAGCCCCGCGCGCCGCCCCTTGCGGCCTGCCCGCCGCCCCTAGGCCCGCTCGCCGCCCCTTGCAGCCCGCGCGCCGCCCCTTGCAGCCTGCTCGCCGCCCCCTGCAGCTCGCTCGCAGCCCCTTGCATGCCCGGCTCCTGCCCGCTCTGCTGCTGGCCACCCTAGCCATGTGCCGCCCTGCCCTGCCTGCGTGCTGCTCTGCTGGTAGTGCGCCACCCTGCTTTGCCTACTATGGCTTCTCTCCGTGTCCTCACGTTCGATCATGAGGGCCGTCTGATTCAGTTCGACACGTGGCTCGACGACTTACACCTGTACCTACAGAGCGACTCTAAAGACAGCGTTTCGTTGTTTGACCACACGTCTGGAGCCTCTCTTGCCCCTCCTCCCACAGCTGACAGTGCGACTCGCTCACAGTGGCTTACCCGTGACGCTGCTGCTCGCTTAGCCATTCGCAACCACCTACCGTTAGCCAAATGCGCTCACTTCAGACAGCACAAGACTGCTAAAGCACTGTACGACGTTGTAGTCGCCCATTACTCCTCCCCTACCACTGCTGCACTAGGCCGTCTTCTACGGCCCTGCCTGTTTCCCGAGCTGTACGCTTTTGCCACTGTAGAGGACCTCGTTACCCACCTCCGCACTAGCGACGCTCACTACCGCACTGCCCTCCCGGCGGATTTCCTTGACAAGAACCCGCCCCCGAATACATCACTCTCTACTTCATAATCACCCGCCTCCCTGACTCTCTTCGCGAAGTCAGGGACCACTTTCTCGCACTTGACCCCACAGACCTCAGTGTTGACCTGCTCGAGCAGCACCTCCTTGCAGCTGAGACTAGTGTAGTCGCCGTAGGTGCTACTCGTGGCACTCCTCGCACGCCCTTCTTTGAGGGGTGTTCCTCCTCCCCCCTTGCCCCCTCCTACGCCTCTGCTGCTGCTATTGACGTCCTTGGTGCTGAGGATGTCGGGGCTGCTTCTGCTAGTAGGAAGCGCCGCAGCAGCAAGGGCAAGGGTGGCAGGAGTAGTGGAGGTGGCAGCGGGGGTGGTAGTGGGGGCGGCAGTGGAGGTGGTGAAGGTAGTGGAGGTGGTGGCAGTGATGGGAGTGGTGGCGGGAGAGGGGTCTTTGGTGGCGGCGGTGGTGGCAGCGGTGGGAGTGGCGGTAGTGGCGGCAGTGGGAGTGGTGGCGGTCGAGGTGGAGCTGTTAAGAGGGGAGGTTCTGGCGGTGGCCAGCGGCAACAGCAGCAGCGTCCGAGCGAGACACCTTTGCCCCAGCAGCTTCGTGAGTGGTTTTCTCAGCATGGGACGTCTGGGGGTAGTGTTAGCTGCCCGTATGTCATTCGCACGGGTGACCGTGCTGGTCAGACATGCGGGAAGCCTCACACTCAGCACCGCTGCTTCTCCCGCCTAGAATACGCTTGGCGCGCAGAGTTTGGTGACGAGGCTGAGCGCCCCCGCTGGGCAGAGTTGCTTCGGTCTGGAGATATCTTTGATCTTGACTATGATGCTATCCTTGCTGCTATGTATGCCTTGTATGTTAGTGCTATGGGTGACTGTTACCAGTGTGTGCCGCCAGATCCAAGTATAGAGGCTGCTGCTCAAGGTGCTAGTGAGTATGCTCTCTCTGGTACTGCGCCTGCTGAGGCCTTGCACACCTCTACGCTTGACTCAGCTGCTTCCTGCTGTTTCTTTCGCGACAGCACCACCCTCACTCCTCTCTCTGCACCTGTACCGGTCAGACTAGCTGACCCCTCAGGGGGGCCAGTTCTTGCCCGTTCCTCCACTGTTCTCCCGTGTCCGGCGGTTCCGTCCGGCTCACTGTCAGGTCTTCACCTCCCCTCGTTCTCTACGAACTTGGTGAGTACCGCTGCCCTCCAGGATGCGATGGTCACTACCACCACTCCTGGGGGTCAGCGTGTGTCGATCTGCACGAGTACACGGATGGGCCGTCACCTGGCCACGTTCACCCATCGGCCTGGGTCGAATCTGTACACACTAGCTGCCGAGCCTCCTCAGGTAGCTGCGTCTGACCAGGTGTCCACCTCAGGTCAGGTAGCACCCCCTTGCTTGTGTCGCCTCCTTTCACACCAGACTCTCCAGTGGCACCGCCGCCTTGGTCACCCCTCCCTGCCACCCACGCCTTCGTGGCATGCACTCCCGCCTCCTTTTCTCTGGTCTTCCCAGGTCTCTACCTCCCCTCCCGCCCTCACTTGCCCCGCCCTGCATTCCTTGCGTCAAGGGGCGGCAATGCGCTGCCCCTCACTCCTCCTCGTTTCCCCCGACGTCTGCTCCCCTACAGACTCTCCACATGGACAAGTGGGGCCCAGCCCGCGTCAGTAGACAGGGCCGCGAGCGCTACGTTCTGCTGGTTGTTGACGACTACACGCATTACATCACGGTCTTCCCCTTGTGCAACAAGGGTGAGGTCCCTGGTGTCTGGATCCCTTGGATCCATGCTGTTCGTCTCCAGCTCCGCGAGCGGTTCCGCCAGGACCTTCCTGTCCTGCGTCTGCACTCTGACAGAGGTGGTGAGTTCTCCTCCGACCCCTTGCGGGACTTTTGTCGTGGGGAGGGCATTCTCCAGTCGTTCACGCTTCCGGCCTCCCCGCAGAAAAATGGGATTGCCGAGCGCCGCATTGGCTTATTCATGGAGGTCGCTCGTACGTCCATGATCCATGCCGCTTCCCCCCATTTTTTGTGGTCGTTTGCAGTCCGGTATGTTGCGCGTCAGCTTAACCTCTGGCCCCGTGTCTCCTTGCCGGAGACCTCGCCTACAATGCGTTGGACGGGGAAGGTTGGCGATGCGTCGGTGTTCCGGGTCTGGGGTTCTCGTGCCTTTGTTCGCGATACGTCCGCGGACAAGCTCTCCGCCCGCGCTATTCCCTGCGTCTACCTTGGCTTTCCCCTTGACGCGGCTGGCTGGCAGTTTTACCACCCCACCTCGCGCCGTGTCCTCCCCTCTTAGGGCGTCATGTTTGACGAGTCGGTTCCCTTTTACCGTCTCTTCCCCTACCGCTCTGCCCCTCTCCCACCCCTGCCGCTCTTCCTTGCTCCAGGTCCCCCTCTGGTAGACCCCCTCCCCCCCCAGGATCTTTCTCCCTCTGGTGTGTCTTAGGTAGACCCACTCCCTGGTACTTTACCTGTTGAGGTCGCTGTAGACTCAGGTGCTGCTTGAGGTGCTGCGTTTGGAGGTGCTGCTTGTGGGGGTGCTGCGCCTGGGGGTGCTGCGTCTGGGGGTGCTGCGCCTGGGGGTGCTGAGCCTGCGGGTGCGGGGCCTGAGGGTGCTGAGTCTGAGGGTGCCGGGTCTGGGGGTGCTGAGCCTGGGGGTGCGGAGCCTGGGGGTGCTGAGCCTGAGGGTGCGGAGCCTGTGGGTGTCGAGTCTGAGGGTGCGGAGTCTGGGGGTGCTGAGCCTCAAGTTATTGCGTCTTTTGGAGGTTCTGCGGGTGCCTCGCCACGACTGTCTCCCCGGCGGGAGCCTCTCTCCCTGCAGCTGCGCGAGTGGTTTGCTTGGCGCACATGCCTTCGGAGTGTAGCTGGAGGCACTGGAGCTCGAGATGCTGGAGCTACTAGTCTTGGAGGTGCTGGAGCTGCTGGTCCTAGAGGTGCTCGTACTAGAGGTACTGGAGCTGCTGGGGCTGGTTGAACTGGAGGAGCTGGAGCTGGAGACCCTGGCGCTGGTGGCGCTGGAGCAAAAGGCACTGGAGCTTCTAGTCCTGGAGGTACTGGAGCTGCTGGAGCTGGAGGTGCAGCAGGAGTTGGAGCTGGAGGCACTAGAGCTAGAGCTGCTGGAGGTACTGGAGCCGCTTGTCCCGGAGGTGCTCGTACAGGAGGTACTGGAGCTGCTGGAGCTGGTGGTGTTGCGAAGTTGGAGCTGGAGGCACTGAAGCTGGAGCTGCTGGAGGTACTGGAGCTGCTAGAGCTGGTGGTGCTGCAGGCGTTGGAGCTGGAGACACCGGAGGTGGAGGCGCTGGCCCTGGGGGTGCTGGTGCTGTTGGTGCTGGTTCTGAAGACACTGGATGGCCGCGACCGTACTTTGTTCCCCTGCTTCAGCAGGTTCTTCGTCTCTCGTCTTCTACTGGCCTTACTCCTCCCTTACTGTGTCCACCGCCTGACCAGTCGAAGCCGCCACTAGAGCAAGCCTCCCCACTGCCTGCTCCTTCTCCTTACACTGAGCAGACCGGAGGTCTTACGGAGCGTCGTGAGCCTGTGTCTCGTCCTGCCTCGCCTGCTCGCGCTCTTTGCACTGGTTGTCGTGTGCCTCGTCCGCGTCCTCCTCCTGTCCCCGGCATGCACCATATGGCACTTCGTCCTTCCTCTATTCCACAGCATGTCCCCCTGCCGTCTGCTCCTGCGTCCTCTCTTGCTGACGGTCCGGACCCTGAGTCTTACTTAGTTCGTGCTGCCAGTCCTATTGTCCCTCGTCTTCTAGCCACTGTTGTCACTGACCCTTCGTTTGAGTCCGCTGCTGCGTCTGCCCTAATTGCTGAGCTTGTTGACTTTGTTGCCACCTGTCATCTTGACTACGCCGCTAGTCTTGTTGCTGAGTCTGAGTCTGACTGACCTCCGTCCGTCGGGGGTGAGAGTGCTCTTCGCACGGACATCCTTGAGGACAGGCAGGAGGAATTCTAGTGTTTTGCATCTGCTGTACTGTTAGAGACTAAGGATGGAGTCTATGAAGATTAGGAGCTGAAATCTCTCAAAATCGTCAACTACAATTCTGGACAGAAAAGTCGTCGTCACAAGAAACGTTGTCGACGATTAACGCACGATTAGAATTCTCTCAAACTCGAGTATGTTGTAGCCCTTGACCGTGGCTTTTTTTCCCAATTTGAATAGTATCAAAATATGGACTATAACTTGAGTTATGAACTTCGGCGCACTAGGGGGTATGCTGCCATAGAAAACGTAACTCAATCACAATTTTCTCACAAGTTCACACAAGAAAGTTAGAGTAGCAATAGAACCAGGTAGGAGGGGATGAGTAGGACGAGAGGGAAGGTCCCAAGGGAGTCCCCATCCAAGGAAACCCCATTCCACACAATTCCCCTCTCTATAGGCACCCCAACTTTGACATTTGTCACTTTCCCAACTCATGCCATCCACCTCACCCAACTTGGCCACACTTGCCAACCTGGCTTGGCTTCTCCCAACCACTTTGCATCATCTACAGTGATGGTGACGAATTTCCCAACCCCCAAAAGTCTGTACCGCATATTGAGTCAACCCGTAAATTCCTATAGTCGCCGCATCATAATCAAAACTTCGAACGATCATATCTTTCTCGTTCTTGCTTCGATCGCAGCGATTCTTGGTTCGTCGGGAAGCTCTTGAGCAGAGGAGTCACTTCAGATATCTGCTCAAGCCAAATAACATTCACACACACTCAGAAAATCCAAACAACACCAAACACAAATTCTTGCACACGCTCACACCACGCATGCAACACACGAACATATGATGGGAGGCAGACAGACGTGAATGCAAATGATAGCATCACATAACAAACTCCCCCTCTGGCTGCCTACCATCATCCCATATGCCATAGCACAAGCATGCACCCTCAATGCACACTCATTCCAGCAAGTTTCATTCCCTTCCAATGCTCATTTTCAGCCAGGCGCTTGGTGAGAATGTCTGCTGCCTGCTGATGGGTCTTCACAATCTCCAGCCGCACCTCCTTGTCCAGGAGCCTCCTCACCCAGTGCCACTTTGGCCTGATGTGCTTTGTCAGGCCATGAAGACAAGCATTCTTTGCAAGCTTCACAGCCGACTCATTGTCACAAAGAATCACAGTCGGCTCCTTCTGGCACACTCCGATCTCCTCCAACAAACGCCTCAGCCACACCACCTCCTTAGCCCCATGATGAAGGGCCATGCACTCAGTCTCACACGAGGACAGCCCCACCTCGTTCTGCTTCTTGCTACGCCAGCTCACTGCACCACCTCCAAACAGGCACACATAGCCTCCAATGCTGGTGCCATCCGCCTTTACAGAGTTGAAGCTAGCATCGGTGTAGCAGGTCAGGAACATCTCCCCCTTGCTCAAATCAGCTGCACCCCTCTGCAGCCTCTGTCGCACAGCACTGTACTCCAAGCTCACTGATGCTGTAGCACTCACATAGTGGACCAACCTCTTGGCCGCTTCCAGCTGCTCATGAGTGGGGCGTGAAACCACACTTGCAAGCCTGGATGTAGCAAAGGCAATGTCACGCCGCGTGTGGTTAGCCGCATAGTTGAGTGCCCCCACCATGGAATGAAACAGCTTCCTGTCACTCTCACCCACCACCTCCTCATTAGCACAGGGCTCCACAGTGAAACCCGAAGGTAGTGGGGTGGCTGGCTTTCCTCCATCTTGCAGCCCATACTTCTCAGCCAGCCCCTCACAGTACTTCCTCTGGTGCAACCTCAACACTCCCTTGACAAGGTCTCTCTCCACATGCATCCCAAGGTAATACTTCACATCTCCCATCTTCGAGTACTTGAACTGCATCTCCAGCATCTCCTCCACACGCTCAATCATTGCAGACGACTCAGAGAAGAGAAGGATGTCATCCACATACACCAGGAACATGAGGAACTGCTCCTTCTCTTGCAGCAGGAACAAGCTGTGATCACACTCGCTCTTCTTGAAACCCCCAGCCAGCAGGGTCTCCTCCAGTTTGTGGTACCATGCGCGAGGAGCCTGCTTCAGGCCATAGATGGCCTTCTTGAGCCTGCACAACCTGCCGCTCCCATCATGCAACCCCTCAGGCTGCAGCATGTACAGCTCCTCTAGGATGATCCCATTGAGGAAAGCAGATGTGATGTCTATCTGCTTGATCCTCCATCCACAGTTTGCAGCCGTTTTCAACATCACCCTCAGTGTAGTCCCTTTCTCCACAGAAGCAAAGATCTCATTAAAGTCCTTCCCCTTTGTCTGCTGGAACGCCTTAGCCACAAGCCTTGACTTGTAGCGGGTCAGCTCCCCATCAGGTCCGTACTTGTGCCTGAAGATCAGCTTGGAAGAAATGGCCTTCTTCCCAGGAGGCAGCTCACACAGCTCCCACGTTTCATTCTCCAACAGAGAGTCATACTCCTCCTTCACACTCTGCTTCCACTTCTCAGCATCGGGCCCACTCAAGGCCTCAGCTAGCGTCTTGGGCTCAAGGATGGCTGCCCAGTAGCAGTGTGCTATCTCATCCTCATCACACTGCTCAGCCACACTCCCAGCCCGTACCACCTTTTGCGTTCCAAAACTAGGATAGGTCAGCCTATTAGGAGGGCGCACATCCCTCCTAGGACGGTCAAGCGGACGTTGGGCACGTGGTGGAGCATCTTGCTGCTGCTGCTGCTGCTGCTGCTGTTGCTGTTGCTCCTCCACCTCAGGTTCTCCCCCATCCTCAGTCACCCCAGAGATCTCCTCATCTGAGACAGTGACCTGCACTTGCCTTGAAGGCCGCTGCACCTCATCGGCCTCAATGATCAGCGGTGTAGTAGGAAGCTTCTGCTGCTGCTGCTTCCACTCCTTGTAGTACAAGGACTCAAGGAACTTCACATCCCTTGACACAGTCAGCTGCTGGCTGGTCAAGTCCCATATCAACCAGCCCTTATGATCCTTAGCAAGCCCCAAGTGTACTCCCCATCTCCCACTAGCCTCCAACTTTCCCCTCTTCTCCTTAGGCACATGAAACACCACCATGCAGCCGTAGGCTCTCAGCATGTTGACTGCTGGTGCACTGCCATACCACTTGGTGTAGGGGACCCACTGCTTGTCCCCCACTGTCGCCAACACCCTGTTCTTCACAAGGGCGACCTGCCGCAGTGCAGTCACCCAAAACGGATCCGGCAGCCCTGCACGCCCAAGGAGAGTGCGAGCACCTTCTTGCAGGGTCCGGTTGAACCGCTCAGCCACGCCGTTCTGCTGAGGGTTGTATGGCACTGTGAGCTGATGCTGGATCCCCTTCTTCTTCAGCACCGCCTCAAAATCAGCACCAATGAACTCTCCCCCATTGTCGGTGCGGATCACCTTCACCTTGTGTCCGCTCTCCCTTTGAGCTCTCGGCATCCACTCCTTGAGAACAGCCGCTGCCACCTCCCCCTTAGTCTTGAGAGGGTACACCCACACCGCACGCGTGTGGTCGTCCACAATGGTCAAGAAGTAGCGGCTGCTCGAGAGAGAAGGGGCCCTCGTGGGGCCCACCACGTCCATGTGCACAAGTGCAAGTGGAGCCTTGGCTGGTCCCGTGCTGCTGCTGAAGGGAAACTTCGTGAACTTGGTCTCAAGGCATGTAGGGCAGCTCCCAATCTCCTTTGCTGCCCCCTTCACCTCCAACCCCTTCAAGCTCCCATCCTTCACTAACTTCTGCAGCATAGGAATGTTGATGTGACACAACCTCTCGTGCCACGTCTCCCAATCGGCATCACCATTCCCAGATGAAGCCTTTGCCCATGCAGCTGTCGCATCCACACCAGCAAGCACCTCACCATGTGGCTGCTGTGGCTGCTGCACCTTCTTGACTGCATCCAGGGCCCCATCAGTTGGTGCAGTCTCCTCTCCTCCCGTCGTTGCTTTAGCCGTTGCTGCAGCCGCTGCCGTTGCTGGTGGTTTCCCATTCCAAGGGATGATGGGCAGCTGCCACAGATCCTTGATGCAGCTGTTCTTCTCCTCCAGATCCCACAACAACAGCTTCCCAAGCTTTGCACGGCAGCTGGTTGGGCCGAAGGTCACTTCAGCCTTGCTCTTTTGCAGCCGGCGCACAGAAAGAAGGTTAGCGGACAAGCCTTCAACCAACAGCACATTCCCAAGCCCCACAAGCCCCCCATTGGCTCCCATTACCTTGGCATTCCCAACACCAATCACAGGGAGCAAAGCACCTGAAGCGGCAGCCACAAACTTAATCTTTCCGGGGGGCTTTACCTCGTCAAGCAAATCTGCCCGTGGGGTCATGTGACTTGTGCAACCTGAATCGATCACCCAGTGAGTGAGGGGGTGCATCACAACCTTCCCAACTGAGCCCACATCACCCTCACTCCCTTTCACATCCTCAACCATGAGGAACATCCCAGGATTGGCTTTTCCTTGTGCACCTGAACCTTGAACAGCGCCACCTCGTGCACGTTCACCACTTGGCGGCTTCATGCCCGGAGGCGCCCATCCCTCAGGCCGGCTGAAACACTTGAACCATGGGTGTCCAGCCTTCTTGTAGTACCAGCAGGCACCCTCCATTCGAGTGCTCCCCCTGCCACCAGAGCTCCCATGCCCCTCGTTGTAGTCACCTCGGCCTCTCCCTCTGCCAAACCCTCTTCCACGGCCTCGGCCTCTCCCTCCCCCTCTTCCTCTACTGCCTCCTGCAGCTCCATACCCCTCAGCAGTTTTGTTGGCAGCACCACCACCCGTGTGGCGCCTGCGGAAGTCCTCCTGCAGAATCTGCTGCCGTAGCCACTCAGGTGTCCACTGGTCCTGCTGAGTGTTGAGGGTGGGGATAAGGTTGTCCCACGAGTTGTTGAGCACCGAGATGATCTTGGTGCACTGCTGCATCTGCGACACCTTGCTGCCCGCCGCTGCCATCCTCGCATAGGTA